CCGGGCCATAAATAACCACAAGGAGAGTGAGAAGAGGGGAGATGTAAGAGGGAGGCAGTGGTCAGGAAGATAAGAAAATAAAACCTACAGGATGGATAAAAATAGAGAGGCAACAGTGAATGGCTGGTTTTCACGTAAGCAGCAAGAAAAAAAGAGAAACAAAGCCTCTTTTGTCCAATTTAGGCCCCTGTATGACATGTTCAAGTATATCATTATGTCCTCTAAATCGAATTTATGCTGTCTTTGTTATCACATAGACAGAAAGCTACCTTCAGCGATTCCCTTGCCACAAGAGGTCGCCACATGTAGCTACACAGGTTCGATTTGGCAGGTTGAGTTTTACGCCCTTCCTGATGTAACCCCATCTCTGGCTGGAATTGATCCAGCAACCTTTCATTTGCCAAGCAAATGTTTTAACCACTACACCAGAGTTTAAAAAAAGAAGCCTGAAACTGAATATTTAGAGCAGCCTGAGCTTTTGGCTCATAGCAATTATTTGCACATGAGCTTATTATTTGAATATTTGGCCATGTTTAATAATCTGAACATGCCAGCAGTGTATATGAAGTATGTTTCAGAAAATAGGAAAAAGCAAGAGAGGTCCACGTGACTGTTGTGTCCCACGACAGTCACATCCAACTTAGTTCTTTATTTTAGTGATTTAAGTCTGATTTAAGGTGTCAAGTGTATTGCTCTGTGCATAAGGAGGAAAAACTAAAGCAAACAAACTGAGAAACTTAATGTTGAGGATCATTTTCAATCAGTCCAAAATGAGCAGAGGGAGAATAAGATAAAGATATTAGAGGAGAAATAAATAAAGAGGTAGGTAGCCGTGATAGATCAAAACCAGAAGAGTGAGACAGAGAGTGCAGAGGACCTGAGTGATACAGTACACCAGCTGGACCGTACGTGCCAGCTCATAGTGTGAGAGTTGCTGACATGTGAGCTCAGCAGTCAAATTTGTAGACAGGACAGGGCACCGAGACTGTGACGAAATGTTCCCAGCAATACAATGATCGCACTGCAAGCCACACAAAGCACTCAAAGTGATGATGCAAACTGGCTGTGAGTGTTCAAACCTACTAAACATCACAGAGATAAGTTTGGAAAATTAGGTCCAGTGCTCTGACTATCTACTATAGGCGCTGAAAGACTTGGATTCATGTGAAGTTTAATGTGACATTTGTGCCCAAAATGTTGGTTTTAAGTGGTCAGAATCCGAATACTTTAATAACCCCACAGAAAACGATGTAATTTGATAATATGTAAGATTTTCATGTAAAAAATTTTTTATGTAAGTACAATATAAAATGGTAAATTTCATGATATGCATTCACTTTATGCCGAGCATGTTTTCTTTAATGATTGAATATTTGAATAAATAAACCTTTGATTTTACATATTTTTGTTGTATTTTACTCTAAATTATGAATAATCCTTTTTTTAAATGTACAATCTGGTAGTATGTTCCTTCTCCAGTAGGTAACAGCACCGTGGAGCCGAGATGGGCAGCGTTATTGTATTTCTGACTACTTTTTTCAAGTAACAAGTAATGTAAGGGATTACTATTGCAAATTACTATTGATTCTGTTTTTGATAGTGTCTCATGACACTGACGTAAGCGCGTGCGATGTCCGTCACAGCAACAGACGTGTGTAGATCAACAATGGATAATATGGAGTGCGGGAGAGAGTACGACCATGCAGCGTTTAAAGCTTGGAAGTACTGACATTACTTTAACTTTCCGTAAAAAGTGACAAAAACATTAGCGTCCGCTGTTCACTCTGCGGGGGAAGAAAACTTCTTTCCTCAGCGTTTCAAATCCAAGCAAGCACCCAGCAAGCTGCCACAGGAATGTGAAATTCACAGATCCCCCCGCTGACATGACCGCTGCAACAGGACTCAGTGCTGCTGGATCTTTGATTTTATTTATTTTTTGTTGTGTTTTACTTGCATCTATTTGAAAGAGTGAGTGTAAACACAAATCATTATTTTATTTTATATGCTGGAATATGCAGAAAATAGGTTTAAATGTTAAACAATTTCTTCATCTCAAAGACAGTTGCATATATAATTTTTGCTTAATGCAATGTGCATAAAATTAAAAGATTAAAACTAATAAAACATTTTTTTAAAAGAGGCTTTCCATTTGATTCAATTGTTTATGATGGATTATGCATAAAAAATAGAACTGGGCTGAAAGTTCTATTGCTTCTATTGCTACGTATTTAGGCAGTGTTGGGTAAGTTACTTTAAAATAGTAACTTAGTTACATTACTAGTTACTTCTATCAAAAGTAACTCAGTTACTTCAAGTTACTCGTTACTTTCAAAGTAACTAGTTACTAGGGAAAGTAACTTTGGTTTTACTCAGAATTCTCTTGTTAATGTGTTGCTTCCACAACTTTGCCAGTCTTCTAGCTTGCTTACTTGCCACAAGTGCATTGTGCCACCTACCAATAGAAAGGAAAAGATAATGTGCATATTTCCACGAGAGAAATCCCACGCCTGGACCGTTGTTGACTGCTGCCATGATTCTAGCCTACGTCACAGCGTCATGTGCACCTTTTACATCCAACACAAAAACTGCAGTCGTGGTGCTTTGATTGTACTCAGAACTCAGAAATTCTGCCTTCTGAATAGGAAGATGTAGGTAACACCAGACTGCAGATGAGCTGCATACAGGGCTGGACTGGGACAAAAAATCGGCCCGGGCATT